CATGGAGATTTATGGTTCATATGCATGCATACTAGAACCTTAGCTGATCTGGTGTCTTTTGATTTGGGTTTAAATCCGTGGGGAGTTTGTCTTGTGTGCTCTGGTTGTTTGTTGAATATTTTGTGTCATTTATAATTTCAGATTCCACTGCTAGCCATTTTTACCAGTCCCTTTCTTTTTCCCCCCCGAAAAACGATGGCAATTGGAATTTACGAGGCGACATCGTTATTTATGTATTGATTTGTATTGTAATTTTAGTAATTTGTCAAGAACATGGTGTCTTTCATCCTAGGGCTCGACTCCTGTTATTTAGGCTGCTGCTTTCTCCAACTAACGTAGAAGTGTTTGGTAAGCAGTACAATATACTCCTATTTGGAACAATTTTATTATATAGGTTGGTTTATCAAGCATCAATTGTATCAGTTATTATAAGCTTGAAAGCCACTTATAAACTATCAACTAGTTTTTCAATTAAGTTTATCAAATGTAGTCTATTAGCTATAAGCTTGAAAGTTATTTATAAATTATCAATTAGTTTTTCAGTTGAGTTTATCAAACATAAAGCTTTTCAATGAAATTTATCAAACATAGCCTATGTGATAGCTTAAACATCACTTTATAAACTAGAAATAGTTTTTCAATTAATGAAAAATATCAAACATAGCCTATGTGAAGCTTAAAAATCACTTATAAACTATAATTAGTTTTTCAATTAAGTTTATCAAGCATAGAACTTTCCAAGCAAGTCTATCAAACGTAGCATATGTGAAATCGAAAATTGAAATGTAGATTAATAAAATTGAAAATTTGCAACATATAAGAANAGCAAGAAAATAGGAAAATTGTTTTAGCAAATAAGAGAATTAAAAAAATAATAATAGCGAAATGAATTATATTCTTTTGCATCAAATATGATTAGATAGATCAGATGGTTTATAATGAAATAATAAAGAATAGGCAGCATAACTGATAGACAATATTTTAACTAATACATATTGATAGGTCTATTTTCAAATCGGGAGAAAACCGGTTGTTGTGAGCTCTGATCTGTTTGAACCGTCTTCAAATCATTGCTAGACCGCCACAAACACCTGCAAGAACCCAACGCCGGGAGTGGTCCCGGCGTCGGGCCTCCGACGCTCAAGTCAGTAAACAGAGCAGGAAGATGAAGCTCTGTAATGTAGAGTTGTAATGCATGTAGAAATGCATAGAATGTGGGGGAGAGAGCTGCTCTCAGAGAGCAGCAGCAGCAGAGAGATGGAAAGTGTATAGAATGAGTAGAGGTTAGGGTTTAGGGTTACCTCATCCTCTTTATATAGAGGGAAATACCTGCTTGAAGTACCCAAAATGCCCTGGTCGGTTCGCATTCCATCTACCTCCTAGTCAGCTCAAGATTCTTTATTGTCCAATTACTGCTTCTAGATCATGCTCTTGTAGTCACAGAGATGTCCAGTAGCGGAGAGGTCTAGTAGCGGAGACCTCTAGTCACAGAGACGTCTAGTAAAGAAGACGTATAGTAGCGGAGACCTCTAGTCACGGAGACGTCTAGTAGAGAAGACGTCTAGTAGAGAAGACGTCTAGTAGCGGAGAGGTCTAGTAGCAGAGACCTCTAGTCACGGAGACGTCTAGTAGAGAAGACGTCTAGTAGCGGAGACCTCTAGTCACGGAGACGTCTAGTAGTGGAGATCTCTAGTCACGGAGACGTCTAGCAGCGGAGACGTCCAGTAGCGGAGACCTATATTCACAGAGACTTTTAGCAGGCCTAGCAGGTCGACCTCTAGCAAGTCTAGCAGGTCGAGATGACCTCTGGCAAGTTTAGCATGTCGAGATGACCTCTGGAAGGTCTAGCAGGTCGAGATGACCTCTGGCAGGTCTAGCAGGTCGAGATGACCTCTGGCAGGTCTAGCAGGTCCAGGTGACCTCTAGCAGGTCGAGATGACCTCTGGCAAGTCTAGCAAGTCGAGATGACCTCTACTTATCTTCTTAGAGCAGCTCGACCTTCTCATACTCAGTCACAGAGAGAATGTCTACTTCCTATAGTTAGTTGTGTGGAGCTTCTCATACTCGGTCACAGAGAGCATGTCTACTTCTCATACTTAGTCGTGTGGAGCTTCTCATACTCAGTCACAGAGATCATGTCTACTTCCCGCACTTAGTCGTGTGGAGCTTCTCATACTCAGTCACAGAGACTTTCAAGTCTCGTCTAGACCTCCTCAGGTCGCTCTTCTTCGGCTTCACTTGGACCTCTTCGTACTTGGCTCCGGTTCACAAGTATGGTTATATCACATATATATATACTTTCATACACAAATATCATCCTTTAAAAAATAATATAAAGGCAGGGACATCCCTTTATATTGAGAGCTAGCTAGGTTCAATGTAATTGAGACTTACAAGGTACAATATTTTTAAATATAAACATATATTTCTATTAAAAATTATATATATATATATATATATTTTTATAAATTATAAATAGGAGTGTGACCAAGTGACACAAATGACGTGAGAGCACTCGTATTTGTTTATAGAAATTTTCAAAAAATTTCAAATATTTTAAGTTTTTAACTCGACCATTTTTTTAACTTAAATTTTAACTCAACCCCACTATCATCAATATTATCAATATAATTAAATAATATCAATCAATCATTCAAATACACCACATCAACCTTAATTCACTACTCATCCATTCACATTACTTCTGATATAGCCACAATATCACATACCGGTTCTAAAGCCCTTAACTCGAGCGGGTGACCACGCAGACCGTTTATAGAACGATATATTCCCATCGACATGCTTAAATCGACTTCCCTAAAGTCGACTCTACATAGAGAGCAACCTAGAAAAGGCAGAAATCTATCTAGTCGACTCTCACAAGTCGACCTCAGTCTGTCGACTTCCATTAGTCGACATCTGTATAAGAAGAACAATAAGAGCGTAACTTCTGAGCATCCAGATACTCTAAGTCGACTCCCAGCAGTCGACGACTTCACTAAGACGATCCTCTGAAGACGATTTCACTTGAGAGAACTAACCAAGCGTAGCCTCCGAATCCTCACATGATCATAAGTCGACCTACTAGCTCTCGAGGTCGACTCTGTATATCTCGAAGACCAAGGATATGATGACGACTCATCACACTTACAACATACTCAAAGCTCTACATTTTCCAAAGGATAAGAAAGAATCTTGAGATGACTCAACAGGGAAGGGAGACGAATCGATCGGGGCATTTTGGACCTTCTAGGTCCACCGACCTGGGCATTCTGGGTACTTCAAGTAAGTATTCACTCCTATATAAAGGAGATGAGGTAACCCCAAACCCTAACTCTCATTCATTCTCCATACTCCCTCATAGTTGCTGCGCAGCCTCACTACATCTCTCTGATACTGACTTGAGCGTCGGAGGCTCTACGCCGGAAACACCTCCGGTGTTGAGTTTTTGAAGGTATTCTCGCGGTCTAGCAACGATCCAGAGGCGGTTCAAGCAGATCTGGGCTCAAATCCACCGGTTTACTCCAGATCTAGAAGTAGACCCATCAACTTCAAATCATATAGTCTCTCATACTTTTGTATCAAATCATTACAATTATTATTTTAATATACCCAACAACAACTAATCATATCAATTAACCAAATAAAAAATTTCTACTCACAAGTTNACAAAAGACTTTCCAATTTCGTTCCAATCCCCTCTTTCTCTCTCTCTACAGTCATTCCTGTCGCCTTCAATTGCGACTTTCTCACACCTCCACTCTCTCCCTCTCTGTCTCTTCTTCCATGTCACTTTCTCTCTCTACACACAATCCCAATTTTTATATATATTAGGGTTTTTGGTCATTTGTGCTTTTTTCAAATGAACAGCACAACCAATAATAACAATTCCAATCAAACCCCACAGGCACCAGCTGCACCGGCGACGGGTGCTGCTAAGCTATCCGAAGAGGAATCATCTTCACCTGGATCGCCGTCTTCCCCGGAGAATTTGTCAGAAAAAACAGAAACCGCCGCCGTGGAAGAGGACGTAGTGATGGCGGAGAAGGACCCTGCAGCTGCGAGTGTGAATTCGACCGACGATCCAGCTGATGAGGAGTCCGGAAGTCAAGCCACTGTTTTCTGCATCAAGCTGAGGCAGCCCAAGTCTAATTTGCTGCATAAGATGAGCGTTCCTGAACTCTGCCGCACTTTCAGGTGCGTTTCGAAGATTGAATTTGCTAAACAGTTCCTGGGCTGAGCTTGTTACTTTTGGCTCATCAGTTTCTGTTGTGTTGGGTTTTGCTAGAGTTATTTGCGAGTTTCAATTTTGGATGGGAATTGCGGGGCTGATATGTTTGTTAGCGTCTTTCGTGCTTGTATTGGCCATGATAACATGTAGATATCAAAATTTAGGATAAGCTGTAGTGTAAAGAAATAGTAATCTATTCATACTTCATTATCTTGATTTTTCTGCAATTTTGGAAGATGGAAGGTGCTTTATATTTATGTGCTCACCATTTTGTAATCCTCTGCACCATCTAGTTCTAGTACGGTGGTGTTGTCTTTTTTTTTTTTTTAATTTCTTCAATTGTCTCTGTTGTGTTTCTCACTTGAGTAATATGTATGTTATGGAAATAAGTTGCAGATTTTTATCAGTATTTTGTTTTACTAATTTTTGTTGTGAAACCTTCTAATTTTGAGTTTAGGAGGTATGTTTATCTCTAGAAAATTTTCGAATGGTGGAGAGTAAGAGATAAGAGAGTTACACTCGCAGCCATTTTAGCAGAGTTATTCAAAATTTTGGTACGAAGAGTTGATTTTTGGCTTGTAAAAAAGAAGGCTGATTATTAGTCTGCGGTTGATGACAACAGATGCTCATCTGGTGCATGAAGTTGTTGAACTTGTAATTTAAGAGTGCACGTATTACTTGTGTGATGTTGATATGTGATTAATGTTTTTGCCTATCGGTCATGGATGTGATTAGTTCAT